TTATTGTTACTATAATTTGATCAGCGCTTACTCGTAGAAAGACATAGCGGTTGGTCCACCACGAGATCGTTCAGATGCGGTGAAAACTCCTGAAAACGGATCCTTGTTTACTTTGTTTCATTCCTGGGGTAACAACAACATGGCATCCATGTAAAGGTCATTGCTTTTCAGTGCCGTTTTAGGCGCCAATTTGCATGCATGGCGCACTCCAACGGATAAGTCGCTGCCATGTACGCGAATCTTTTTATTTTGCACAATATATACTACAGAGCATTCGTCTGAGAAACGTTTTTTTCCTTCAACGTCACTGACTTCGTTGGCTTTTTTGTCCTCCACTAGGAAATGGATTTGAATTCGTTCAGTGACCGTTCATTCTTAATGGAGCAGCGGTAGAAAGGGGGTAATACTGTTGCCGATACGTGATATGTTTCGGTATGGTTAATTGTTTGTTGTTTCATCTCAGTAGGAGACCGGGTCGATCTGTCGGTTCCCTTTCGCTACGACTTTCGATTGATGAGACCGACGTTATTGGGCGAGGCGGTCGGCGGCAGCTGAACTGGGAGGAACAGGGGGGTCGTTTCCCCCGTAGACGGTTATCCTCGCCCAGTAACGGCGCGACGATCGACCTATTCATCCCGACATCACCCGCACATGTATTCTAATTTGTGCCATTCAGTTGCAGACTGGTAGGCGAAGTAGGAGATCTCGGTCGACCGGGGGGCCTGTCTGTCGGTGCGGTGGGTCGTCGGTCGTCGGTCGGTGGGTCGGTCGGTCGGTCGTCGGTGTCGTCCCGTCTGTGCTGCGCAACGCACTGAGAACTGCGCCACACATACATAGCCCAGCGCTAGCGCCAGCGCACAACCATCGTCGTCCGAGATGGAGAGACCTTGGCGTATTTATTGCCAACTCGACTCCGCCTACAACGCCACACCTTTTCACGGCCCTTTCAGTCAAGCACCACCCTCACGTGTAACGCTTTCAATGTTGCTCAACCCGACAACAGCTCCCACACTACCCCACTGCTTCTGTCTACCAGTGGCATCAGCAAGTCCTTAGGCCTGTAGGCCTTACCCCTCGATTCCCTTTATCCAGAGCTCTGCCTAGCTCGAATCCCCTTCTCCAAAAACCTGCCAGAGCTGTATTCAACCTCTCCGGAACATGCCATCATTACCTGAGTATGCGATTCGTTTTCGAGTTTTTGTGCTCAGCGTTATGATGGCAACGATAGCCCTATACCCCCGTTCCCGTTCCCACCTTGACCTCTCTCTCTCTCTTCTATTAGAAACTCGCTGCTGCTGCTGCTGGTGCGCACGGTTCTCATGCTGCTGCGCATTTATTGTACTCAAAACGGGGTGTGGGCTACTTTTTTTATACTCTGCGAAATCGATATTACATAGGTAATGACATGAAATTACCAGTTCCAGTTCAGTTAGTTGTGATAGCAGTAAACCTACCTAGTTGCTCTAATGTTTTCTACGGCAATCCATCCGGATAGAATGACGGGGTTGACGATGGACGGACGGAAGCCACCAAACAATTCGATAGATAGAGATTCGCGTATTACAGCGGTAGCGATCGAGACGTTCTCCTTGGCCACGTATCTGACGAAAGGCAATAGAAAAAACTGCCGACTTCCGTTAAATGATGAAGATGAATTTCCGTTTGTGTTTGTCGCCCTTCCTTTTGCTTCATCCGCTGGTCATTTTCATCTTCATCACTGGTCATCCCCCCATATATGTGATCATTCGATCAAATCCTACCAGTAACAGTCTCGGTCAGTATGCCATATGATGTCAGAGGAATTCTGTGAGCCTAAAAAACATCCAAAACTAGTCGCTAGACAGTTGTGCGGAGGTGCTCACAACTAGTCATTACTGCGCATCGCCAGCCGGGCCGAGGTGACTGTTTGGTACGAATTCGAATGGCATTTACTACTACTTAGACATTGTGAATTAGTAGTAGGTAACGGCTTTGTTTTGATCGTATTCTTTGATGATTTAACTGTTTATGCATGTACAATCTTCTACAGTACTGACAGTTTTGAACTTTTGCCAAAAAAATTCGAATGCTCGCCAATTACTTGAGTCGGTTCAAAGTTGAAACGGGAAATGTTCAACGGCACCTCCACCTATTCAATCCTTCCTGTGTCCCTTTACTTGTTTTTCCTTGAATCATCATTTCAATCATTTTCCAACATTTTTCTGCTTCGATTTTTGCTTTTTTTAAAATTTTTAGCAAAAAATACTGCTGAACTACTTGGCAGTAATGAGATAGTAAGCATGCCAATTAGCTGATTAATACAACCTCGAAGTTTTTTTTTGAATGGCCCGTTCGCTTTGTCATTCACACGTCCAATTATTCAGCATAGCATCGTCCCTTGTTGCATCCGTCCGATAAATTGCAAATATTTGAAGTATTTCGTACTTTATTACGTTGGAAATTATTGTACTTGGTCATATTTATACTCATTTCCGGTTTGAAGTTGAAACGGGAAATGTTGAACGGCAACCATTCGATAATTCATGCTTATTACTCATTATTTACTTTTCCCATAGTTTTCCGCATTAAATGGCCACAGAGAGACCACCGTCAATTGCCATATTTTCTTGAGGACGTCAATCGTCAAACCAGTAGCCAGCCTTCTGATGCCCACGTCATTCCTGGCTGTATTTTTCACGGGTTGCTAAAAAAATATTTTTCAATCGTCGTCGCGTTAATGATGTTTTCGTAACTGAACTCTTCTGAAGAATCCATACATACATACGTAGCTGTATCGACCGTGTACCAGCCTCGTTTTCGATTTTTACCTCGACACGTAATCGATTCTTCCACTTGTCTGCTTCAGATGTAGGCTAAAATCGCCATTCATCCGATGCCTATCGATTTTTCACAGAAGGTGCCCGTCCATCTTATCACCTCCTTTGCAGTTATAGTAATTCCAAAACCTGGATCCATTTTTTATTGATCGATCAATACCGTATGAACTAGTTTTGGTGTTTTGTGAAACTCCTATTTATATATCGACAACAATATGGTCTTTCTCACCTTTTCTTAACGGGTAAAGATTCCGAGAGATACCGTATCGAAAGTTTTCTGTTCGAGACATCGTTAGGGAATGGCATAACTGCGTAATCTCAAGTACCGATCTTGTAAAATCAATCAATAAAAGTATTATTGCCGGTGCTATAAAATTTCTTCCCACTTATTTATATAGTCTCAAGTTGAGTTGGGTCGATTTTCTGACGGGAAATACTCTCTCCATCCACCCGTCCATCCCTATGTGCCACATTGATGGTCGGATCGCTCCAACGATGATGGGGGGGNGGTCGGTGGTGGTATCACCATCCCGTTCGATATCGTTTTCTCTCTTTGATCATAATTGGCCATTGGTCTTTTTCTATCTATAATTTTATCATTCACAGTTATTCACGGTTATCATCGTTTTTTACCAAAGTATACCAAAGTATAAGTCCTCCTGATCGTACCTGCGACCCAAAGCTTCTCACTTGCAAATTCAGTGTTTTTTTTTTGAATTTTTCCTTTACTTAGCAGTTTATTTTTATTGCCTTTTCTGGAACTTTCCAAAAACCGATCGTAGAAATGGAAATTTGGTCTATTCGCGCAAGCCCAGCCAGGTGAAGGCATTATCGCCCCCCTTCATCTTGAAAACTTGACAGAAGAACCTGTGTAGATTGTTTTACGTACTTTGCTCTTAATCGTTGTTGAACTCGGAAAAAACCTTGATGTCTCATAACTTTTCCTCAATAACTAGTTTCATGCCGGTTACAGGAATGTGAAGATTTTGCCATTCCATACATAGTTCGCATATGTTCGGTACATTACTTACCTGGATTTTTACCACCTGGAATTTCAGGTTCGAATCTATTGCCAAGGTGTGGAATTACCATCTAGTCCCATCTCCTTACAAGTATTATCAGCTCAAGAATCGAGGGCAACGTCACGAGCGTATTCGAGCTCATCTCGTGACGACGTCGAAGCGGTCATCAGTGACGACAACGACAACGACGACGACGACCACGGCCACAAGTCTGATTCGGGTGGATCGGACGTCGACATCTCACATAAGTCATTCGCAAAACGTCGACTTCATATCATTAAACAACTTGAAAATCAGAATAAAGCGGTAAGTTCAAGGTTTACCCCAGTAAAAATCATACCAGTATCGGGTAACGACGTTCCTGACGTCCCCATTTCCGTTACATTGCCTGGAACTGAAATATTAATAACGGAAACCCAGAAAAACTAGCAGTTTACAATTCTAACTAAGTAGTAACTTCATCGGTGTACTTTGTAAAGAAGTGTTAACTGTGCCTACTGTCTTTAGATAAATATGCCACATTAAGGCTGGTAAGAAGAAGGTGACTGGACAACAGCACAAGGATTTGCGGTCGAAGGAAAACAGTGGAGGTGAAAAGGTAACTTTTTTTACTGAAAACTTTAGTATTACTGGTTATTACTGAGTGTTACTGATTCTATTACTTGTAGGCAGAATTACAAGACACATCACTGCATGAGGAGATGTCGTTACGTTCATCCGACATTGGTCTTGTATCGTTTTCCGGCCTAAGTGAACCATGCAGTGTCGGTTCAATTGTAGAAGTTGTGGTCAGTGAAGTAGTACATACTAGTATGAGATCTGGTTTATGCTTGATTGCAGCGCGCGATTTAATCGGTCCGGTGTTCGCGGCAGCGGACATCTACCACAATTTGTTCGCGCGCGCATGCATGTGATCACCCCTTTTCGACGGTTGATTTAACGCGATCCTTTACTATCTGAAACTGGCGGACCGTTTATACTACAATAGAAAGGGAAGCTGAAATAGTAATATACTAGTAATGTACTTGTCATAATACTATTAATGGATCGAGCAGGTTCTTCCGTAGAAGAAAGTTTTTTAAACGTGAAGTTAATTTTGCTGACGGCATATGCTATCGAAAGGTTATTGCTCATTCCCATCGATTTGAATACTATCTCGATGAATTCTCATAAGTTCGAAAAAGAAGACAAAAACGCGTGCGCATGCGGCGCGGTTAATAGTGGCTGATCCAGGGTTGGTGCTAGTTCAGTGCTGTTGTGACTTTCTCGAGCATTCTTTTTCTTTTCTGAGTAGTTCTGCTCATTTGTTCTTCAAACAGTAAACACAGTTTCTACCTTTTATTTCTAATTAAAAATGTTTCCACTCGCCTTGCTTTTTTCTGTTCTACCACATTAGCAGTTAAAACTTTGTATTTCATTGCTCGATATTCTGCTTTAGTATCTTTTGCATGATTTTTCTTCGCCAAGATAATGCGGGAACATCGAAATGTCCCGAAAACCGCATAGTTTCCCTGGAGAATTAAGATATTTGTGTTTCTTTATTCAGTTTTCTTCAAGGTATCATAAATTATCACGAATTATCCTTTTCCCGTTAAACGATCATTCATGATACCTGCTAATTTGGCCTGAAAATTAGGAAATTTAAACAAAGTTCGGGTTGTGCTATAGAGTGAATGCTTGAGAAGTTTTCGTAGTAACTAGTACATCGCAACTGGTAATGCTACAACATTTGACCACTCTCATTACTAAGCAGTAAGAATGAAACGATATGCGATCGCTTCGAGCGGCAAAGAAGCGATACATAAATCATCACCGCCACGGGAATGCAGAGATTTCATTGTTTGCAGTACTACCTAGCCATTCCAAAGCATCGATTTTTCTGAAGTTTTAATTTTGCTCAAACTTTTCTGTTTGCCTTCCTACCAGTACTTTACTACTTTTCTTTACTACTGGTTAATAGACTGTCTCTTAAGTAGTATTCAGGATTCCCGCAGAGCGAAGGGGATGAGGTATTGACGTGTTAACGCACCGAAATTGCCCAATGAAGGCGCTTTTTGTAGGTAACTCTAGGTAATACTAGTTAACTGATCAGCTGACAGTGTCTGTTACCTGGAAGTTAATGAAATGAGTGCAGGTGGTCTTGGAGCTCCATTATAGAACTTGCCCATGGGACTGGAACCTGCTTCCAAGATGAACATCTTAGGAATGGCTTTGAAAGGTTGAAAGCAGGACTATAACGAGTTAATGGGAGAGTCGGCATTTGCAATGGAAATTGTTAGAAGCAGCCCAACAAGGGGGTGTAGGGGAGCTCGCTATCCTTGATTAGCATACCAGACCTTATGACACATAACTGAGTCATGTTGGATTCTCTACCTTTCCCACTGAGGTCGTTACGGTGGGCTGGGGTCGTTACAGTGGGAGACGGTAAGATACCAGTAAAATCGTTCAGCAATCACTCATAAGCTTTCTAATTAGATTCATTAGTGGTATACTCATCTCAGGAATCAAAACTTGTAGACTTCTCAATTCTAGGATACGCCACGCTTTTGGCTTCTTATTGAATGAAACGAAACGTTTGAATGCCTTAGTGACCTACGGTTTTAACTGATGCACAATATATTTCATTCGTTTTTGCAAACGGGTATGCTGGTTACCCTAAAGATGCTCAGTTAGGGTGACCTGATGCCGGTTCGGAATTTGATCTCTAGACCATGTATGCGGTGATGGCACCAATGCCTCTGCCCCATGCAGACGACAAATGTGAAGGGTACCTGCACAGCTGAGAATTGTTATTTTTCCTATCCATTTTTGTAAAGTCTCTCCCAGGGCTGAATAACCGAGAGATTTCAAAACCCCTAAATGCCTTAGAACGAGAACCCTTCCGGTTTTTCAGCTTTCCTTGGCTTTGAAAGCGACTCTTTTCCATTTTGATCCTTGTGGGCTCCCAGAGGGCTTTGTTAATGCTCTATAGATATGGGCTTCCGAGGAACGAATTTTCGTAGGACTTGCTTACAAGTCTTCCAAAATTGATTTCAGTTTTCCAATGTACAGAAACTTTTAGGAGCTTAGTTCAGGCTGCGAGCTCAGAAAGCTGTGCGACTCGCCGGCTTTGTGTAAACAGTAGACTTCAATTTTTCTTATTTTTAGTTTACTTTGTGTTACAAGTAAATACAGCGCTATGCTCTATGTTTTCATGTTATTCTCTGAATTATATTATGCATTCGTTCGTTTATCGTTGTTTTTCTTGATGTGGCTGGTTGAAAGGGGCGCTGACCCCAAGATAGTATCTCTTGGTAGCCGGCAAGGCTATCCGTGGTGAATCGATGATTTGTATATGCCTAAGATTCTCCCAGGGAGGTTACTGAATTGAAAACAACCAGTTTAATTGACTAAAAGTAAAATCAGGACTTTTGGCTCCATTTTATGGTCATTTTCAGATTAATGCCCATGGAGATTGCGCGGCTGGATCCGTACAAGTAGACGCTGTATCACCACATGGACGAGCTCAACCGTGTGCCGTATCGAAACGTGCTAACTCGTACACGGCTAGTTTTACACCACAGCAAGTTGGTAAGTGCTGAATGCCAAAATTACTTTACTTTTGTTCTAACAGGTTATGTTTTCTTACAAATTTTGTACCAGAACGTTCACACCGTCACAACTAGTTTTCAAACCTTCTAGTAATTGTAAAGCTACTGTAACGTCTGTCATGAAAAATTTGTCCTGATCAACATTTGGATTGCTTTTCGTGCATATTGGACAAGAAAAGCTGCACAAAAATGTTCCTTTTCTCAGGATACGCCATGCACGCACCTACTGTGTAGAATAGTGCTCGTGGTTGAAAGGGTATTCTGTCTTTACCAGTTGTTGGGTGGGACGCCTTGTGTAAATCAGTGCTTTATCCTCTCATATCAAGCTCATATAAAACTACGGACATGGACTGCCAGGCATGAGATTGATCTTAGGGCCATGTATGTGGTAATAACAGCCTTCGTCGGGTGTGAAATTGGTGTTGGACATTACTCCAAACTAAAAATTTGCAGTGCTGAAAAGGATTGTACGAGGCTTACTCCTTTGACAGCAGCTTGCTCGAACAGTTGGGCGAAGGTCAGTGTGAGCAGTGATACTGGTTTCCATGAGTAATTACTTGATTGAATGTACCATAACCACGAACCCAATCGTCGGCGATGCCTTATCGAGACCGATATCTCTGTAATCCGCCATTCTAATGACCTTTTACGAGTGACGACGAGTTTATGACGAGTCTCAACAGAGAGATCGAACTTCTTATGAGTCCAACAAAAAAGCTGAGCGTTGACGAAGAAAAACCAGTTGGCCACCTGCCAGGCGTACAGATTTCGCGACCGTAAATGGAATACGAGCGTTTTATGGCCTCAGAATTTACCTATCATTTTCAAAACATACCAGCATCGATAAAAAACAGCTCCAGCAATGGCAATCAAGACGGTTCACAATATATTTTGATAAAATTTTCTAAAAATGAATTATTAAGGTGTATGGAAAATTGGTATACTGTACGAAGGTGAACATATACGTGGAAGCCCCTTTTCATGTCAGGTTAGTTGGCATTCATTCGAAGAATGTCGTCAGTTTGCATTTTTAGTAAGTCGATGGTAATGAGTGATACTTTAAGGTATTCGACGCCGGCCTAGTACAGGTTTATGGGTTGGACGTCGGTCTTGTTGGGCAAGAATTGAAATTCAATGTCAACGCCTCCGAGGCAGGTAGCGGCAACTTAGAGGTGAGTTGTTTGAATTGTGATGGCCTGATGGGCTTCATTACTATAGATTTATTACTCATTACTATCCATTACTATGTTATACTCCCATGGAAATTGTTCCTGAAGCTTCTTGAACTTGCTATTACTTTAAGGGAATCTCTCAGAAACCTTTTTTTCCTCATCTTTTTACTCTGAGGCATTTAGCTTATGGACACTATTTACGATTGAATACGATCTTGTTAGAACTGTACGGAGCACTGAAGAAGCTCAAGCTCAAATCTGTGACCCATCGCCGAACGACTTTCTCGAAGCTTTCATGGATTGAACACTTTTTTGTCTCACTTAATCGTTTTATAACATCAATAGCAGAATCTCACAGCTTTTGCTGCTTCTCGTTCACAGGGAGGCGTGACTTGTGGGGTGGGTGGAGTCTGTGAAGTGAGATAGGTTTTCTGCTGTTCCTATTCCGATTGTCAGTAGGAAAAAGTAGCGAATGTTAACTTTGGTAGATAGGCTGTGAATACTCGGCTTCGGGCCTCGACCTTCAGACTTACTATCTGGCCATGAACAAGTTCTCAAGATCACAGTTCCGACTTCATCAGTTCATAAGATATTCTCTTTTCTCAGTTATTTCATTCTCATTTTTATTTTACAAATATGACATTCACAATCAGCGTCATAGAGGGATCATCTATCAAAATCATCCATTTCGCTAGTAAACTAGTAACTTCCTGAATCGCGATCAATGCATATGCACTTTCAAGAATAACTTAAGATGGAATTAAATTCTCGCATTAGGGTTTCGAAACTGTGGAATTCGGGCAGCGAAGCAGAGATGGCATCTTTGGCAGTTCGCATTTTTACCAGTTTAGTGGCAATTGGGTTATGACTCACGAACTTGATCTGATACTATAGTTATGGGGAGTAAGCGTTTTGTGTGATGAGGGGTTCGTCTGTCTAGTTGAGGCTTTCGCTATCCATTACACCCAAGAAGTCAGTACTATTCCGATTTCCGGTTACCGTTTTTCGCAGAAGTTTTTATAGCATGCTCTCTGATTTCCGCTCTGATGGTTCTCCATTCCTCTTTTTTGTTTCTTCTCGAGTGCTGCTCTAACGTACTCAGTAATAGTTTGCAGAACTATGTGGCAAACCGCTTCTGTATTACTGTCTTTTATTACATGATATTATTAAGTATCGTCCAAAATTCCAAAGTACATATAACCAGGTGTTCCACCAATTTAACCCTGCCGTGTGTTGCTCATTGCATTTTTCCAAAATGCACTTAATGGACTAGTCGAAACTAAATGTTCTATGAAACAAATCGACGTCGATCGGCCCTGTTCTGGGATGCACTCATGCTTCGACTTCTCTAAGAATTTTTGGTGGCGTTTGAATATGTACTCAACTCATACAATGCCTTACGGGTCCAGTGCGCTTTACAGAAGAGCTTTTGAGCCTCCCAAACGAGTTTGGTATCAAACTGACCGGAATTCATTTCTTTATTTTCGAACATTCTATTTGAATTCAAACTAATCATTAGATGAAATCAATACGCCCTTTAAAGGGCGAGCTAAAGATAGTTTCCTTTAAAATGAATTTCATGAAGAATGAAGGCGATGCGGAGCCTGTAAATAGTGGTAGATTTCTTGAGAAACGATGAAATACGTCTCGCATAACGGGGAGGCCATAAACACCCAGGTGGGGACCATAAAATTATACTACCATGCGAGCGCTCGAGGCAGATGTGAAATGTGGGCTAGGCATGTTCTCGGCCTCTGAAGGCTCAGCCACTGTTCTGAGAAGATAGCAACAGGGATGTCGAGATGTGATTAGATCCTTGTTCATAAGATCAAATACCGCCCGGAACAGAACCAGCTTCGTACCAAGATAGAGTCGGTTTCTTGCTAAGAGGCAATAATAAACCCTAACAGGACTATCAACTAGTTTCTGCCGGAGGATATTCTGACGACTACGCTCGATTATCTTTAATTCGTATTTTCCAAGAAATTGACTGTGTGGCGCAATCCGAAAATTTGATCGAGCGGGGTCATCTAAATCCGATCTAGCGGGGTCTTCCGGGGATCCTGGCTTGTTACTTGCCCAGGCAACCAAGCCTTCCATCCCTTCGGGGTCCATCCCTAATCAGTCCAGACCAAACCATCCAGAGCTGAGAGGGTACAAAGTGTCTTGTACATAGGCTGGCCATTGCAATTCATTGTATATGCCACGTACACCTTCGAACCACCACTACGATTCCGAGTGGAAGTCAAATGCAGGGCGCATTTTGAAAAACGGAATTGAATTGCGCCAAAGTCTTTCCTCAATCAGGAAGTACGGGAAAGAGCTCAGCTCTTTTGTGATCTACATTTGCTTTCGCTTAAAAAATCGCTATAAAAATCGTTTTTTTTTAAATGTAAAGCATCATTGCCACTTGTATCGTATTCACTTCTATTAGGAGGGGCTATCAGGTTCATGAATCATCTACTCAGCAGTTATTACAAAGTATTGAGTGTTGTTACAGTAGAATATGTAGATGCATTCAATAGCATCTGGTTGGCAGTAATAGCGTGGGGAAGCTGTAACGACCTGAGGTTGTTACAACGTCTAACAATGGGAAAATGGGGGGTCTTAGATGCTAACGTTACCAGTAACTTGTCAACATTCGCAGGGGGAATTCACCTTGTTACTTGGTAATACTATATAGTAATATTGTAATTATATTCTTATATAATATTTCTCTTAACAAATCGATGCCATTTATAACCAGTTTATCACGGGGGACTCAAGTAGTTCAATCGGGTTTTGGCGCTCGATTGGAATGCCGTCGTATAGAGCGGCCGGCGGCCATTCGTCCGCGATGTCTCTCTTTTCCTGTCTTCATCTCTGTGATCCGATGATTTCCTCCAATCTTTCTTGTATGATTCTCGTTCTCTCGTTCACTCTTTTTCTCTTCCTCCTCCACCGGGGGAATGCTGTTTCATCGGGTGTTGAGTCTCTATGTCACCTCATCACCGTATACGAGTGTGTGATACCATCGAGCCGACGTATCCTAGCACTTGATCACTATATGATTAGACACATCTGTGGCCCAGGTCTTACGTTTCTGCCCGTCGTTGTCCGTGGTCAACCGCGATTATCGTCGTCGTTCAATGATGCGAGAAAATTCTTCAACTCATTCCTCGCTTACGTATCAATCTTGAATGTTAGCCCTTCTGCCTTGGCTATAGTCGATAGTCAGCCAATCAGATTGCTTTATTTCGCAGTTTCTGGTCCAACTGACCAATCAGATTGCCTTATTTCGCAATTTCTAGTCCAACTGACCAATCACACATTACTGGAGATCAAATCAAATTACTCGCTTTTTTCTCTACCTTCTTCGATAAATGGGTCTTTTTTTTTATTATTTCACGATATTTTTCTATATATGAAATGTCAGCAATGTCTGCTTACTGAATGAGTGAAAGACAAGTTAGAAGCGCATATGTGTGTCAAGATGTAGTGACGCGTTTCCTTTTACTTCAAGGAATTCTGTGAAGTCTAGAGAGTGTATATTGGAGTGTTCATGACGTCTATTCCCATGAAACATACTCTTTTACTGGTTTGCCGAATACTGGTTCCATTTCGGTTGTGGTTTTACTTTATGCCATATATTTTGTTATGAAAGATTATTTCTCGTCTATTTACAGTTCTCAATGTACTGTTTTCGGGAACTCGTTGATGAATTACTATACTGAATTCACTAAAATTGTTGTACCAATACCAATATAACTCAAAGATTTGGATTTATACAAGTTTATCGATTGGAAAAAATAGCGCAGAGTAAGGTAGCGCGAGATCAAATCTGGGATCTAATCGTACCTAAGCCATTCTGCCCTCCGTCCCCAATTAGTGCCAGATTGGTCCAGGAGGATCGATCCCAACTAGCCAAGCGGGTAAGATTACGGCTCGTATAACATAAAAAGGTTCTTACAATTATTCTAATGACTAGGTAGGTATTTGAAGGTAGCGCTACCAGCACAATGCATAGTGATCCAGTGATTCAGGGAGGAATTCGAATTCATGGCGTATTCTTTGTAGAAAAATCTTACTCGTGATCCAAGCGTTTCATTGGTTCAAGCTTCTGATGATCTCTTTTCTTTTCCGTCGTTTTCCTTAAGACAGTAAAGGTGACGCACCCGGTCCTAATCAATACTCTTGGATCGCGCCATGTTTTTATCTTCGTTCGTAATCGTGTAAATGATTGGAATGCTTTACCAGTCTATACAGCGGTTTGGAACGTAAGGAATTTTCCACTTCAGGACAGGTCTAGTCATTCAACGTCGGAACATTAATATGTATAGCTGTTGATTGAAAGATTAGTTCCATGGATAAATCACTTACTTGTTGTTGCCACAACTGCGCCCTAATCTGGTGAACTTCAAAAATATGGTTTTTATTTAAATGTTTTTCATTTGTGAGTTATCAAATTTCGACTAGGAAAATATTGCATTCTGCTATTTGATTATAATTGAATTAGTTGAAATTTTTGTAACCGATCCGGATCGAACTTGTAACATACGCCCTTCTGTGACGATAGCGGAGTTGAAAGTTAAGATTTTGTTTCAACATATTTTGTTCCACATTTTCTTCAACTGAATGACCTGACTTAAGAGATTACCTATTTGCGATGCTACGTCTTCAGAGGGAATTTTCATGCTTCAAAATTACAAATTGGCATCGAATTCCCCTTTTGCCTTCATGCCTTCAGATTCCAATTGCGGCGATCACCTGCTTGTTAGAGTAGTTGTAGAAAACGAGAAACGCTGTGTATTCAGCACTTTCGATTTCCGAATTCCTTCCGGTGCTCTGAACATTTAAAGCTGGGGCATTTTATCCTAATGAAATCACGGCCTTCTCCCCAATCAGTATGTCCTTTAGTTCGAATCGTTTTTCATTCAATTCTGTCTTTTCTATACCTCTGATTCAGCTTCTAACCACTTGTAAAGTACTACCGTACTTACAAAATATTGTTTCTCATTCAACCGCAATTCCGTCAAGTGTGAAGTATTCCATTTGCAGGGGAAACAGGCATTGGGAACGGTTTTGTGTAATCGATCCGCCGCACGCGACTGTCGCGGACCATTTGGGTCGTTGTAACAGTTCTAGCGTTCTTGATACAGCTCAATCGCTATGCGATTATAACTTTAGGCATGATTCTACTATTACTTCTTCTGTTCCTGTATTTCTTACTTGCTGCTGCATTCTGCAACATTCCTTCGCGCGCGGTCTCTCTCACCGCGACGCGGCAACTTCGTTCCTATTGCACCATTCCCCATTTGCAGCGTTGACAAATTTTTTGCGGTATATTTTCAAAGGTTCCTTTAGGTTACTGTACTACGCCACGGACGCCATATACCGTCAACAATCGAAGAAGAAGGTCCTCAAGTGTACCGTGTGAATTTCGTTCCCGACGGTGCGGGTCAATATAAAATTCATGTGCTGTTCAACAGGATGGAAGTGAAAGGTCAGGTTGCAGCTGTCTTTTCTGTTTTCTATGCGCATTTTTACCCCTAAATTACAAGCTAAACGTAAAGTAAAAGTAAATAGAAAGGGAGATAGGGAGCAGTTCTCCTCAAAATTAAGTTGACACCGGCAATGGCAAATTTTGAAGTTAACAATTAGTCTAAATGGAGGGTTCATGATCCGAAAGTTGTGAATTCACTTTAACTTGGCGCCGTTGACGCAGTGAATTGTGATGGCAGGCTGATTTTCTACAGATTTGACTATTTTATTGATACTTGTAATTAGTTTTTTTTACAGTTATCAGTTTTACTATTTACCATGGATAAGTTCAGGTTCACCATTCATTCTTGACATTGCTGACGCATCGGCTGTATCCGTGTTTGGCGAACAACTACGTGGAGCTTCTGTTGGCCGTCCAGCATCATTCATGATCCATGCTGCTGCGGCAGCACCGAATGACGTCACCGTCGAAATAACAGGCATGGTTTTTCTACAAGTAATCATCCTGAACTTGCTCGGTACTGCTGTTTCTGGTTTCTCGCCACATCTCCTGTGACCAATCAATACAATCAATCAATATTTGGAGCTTCTTCTGCATCAAATACAACACATTTTCCAAGTTTTAATGAATTTCTAACGCGAATTGGAATTGTCTGGACGTTGAAAATGTAAAAAAAACATAGTTGGAAAAAAAGCGGATTGATCTTCTAGGAAATCCCCCGTCTTTTCGGCCACAAATTTTCCTAAAACTCTGAGAAGTTGTTTGAATCAGGCAACTTTCCCTTCAATGCAAAAACTGAGGGGCAAGATTCCGGGGTTAACCTTCTACCAGCTAGTCAAACTTACATATGTCATTAATTTCGGTTTTTCTAACATGGTACCAGTTTTTTGGAGCAATCAAAAGGAATTGAATTCAAAACGATGGTAGTAGTGGGGAGGTGAACCTTTAATCACGAGCCCTGGCGCGGCCACCGCGTGCGCGCGAAAAAATCGCACCGATTTATTGGACCTTATGCCCGCTCTCGTCACCACGGGAAAAGTGGACTCAAAAATCAGAAACAGCAGAATAGTGCTTGGCTATTTGCTTAGCTGGTCTATTATTCAGTTTTTTTCGCCTCAGTAAAGTGCAGGCTTAAACTGGTTACCATAGGAGGTCTAAATGTGTTTATGTAGTGTATGTTCGTGTGAATGTGAGAGTGTCTGTGCCCAACAACGTTGTCCGTTGAGTTCGTTCTCGTCTTTTTTTCTTGTCCGCACCTCAGAAGGTGTATAGCCGCCGCTTCACAACGACGCCGGAACGTGGTTGGAGGTGAATCTGAAGTGAATTGAACTTCTTCACACCTCCCAGATGGCGACGGACGGAGGACACGCCGCTACCATCGAAGCGGTTTCCTACTCGTATTGTTCTGGTGTCGTCAGCTACGTGTACGTATATGTGTGTAGATGCTTTGTGATCGTCTCACGTGATCTCCCTGGTCTTGTAAGTGCTCAAGTTTTCTATTTTTGTTTATTTGTTTCTATGTTTTTGTTTTCTTTTGTTTATTTTCATGCTCATACTTGGTTCCGCCTATTTTGAGCTGGATGCATTATCTCTGCAACTCAATTTTTTTCCTGAGTTTTTGGGAATTTTCCGTTCTATCTCTTTAGCTCCATCGGGAAAACATCGACATGGTGTGGTAACGGCACTCGATGACGTTTCCTACAAGGTCGAATGGATCCCACAAGAAGCAGGTGATACGGATTTTCATACTGTCTTACAGTATTACTTTGTTTTTTATTTTCACTTTAAGTTGGTACAATTTTGTGAAGAATGCTTTGGTTTGTTCCTCTTTGCATGCAAAATGGTTTTCTTTCAAAAAATCGTGAAATCCCGTGCCAATTTTCATAGCTTCAGTTTATATGTGGCCTATGAGGGACTTTCTCATTTCAAGGGTCGCACGATCGCATCGTTCTTTTTTACAATTTATTTTTCCCGTTGTTTGCACATCATCGCTCATATCGATCGATCCTTCTCGTGTTTAAATTATGAAATAGATTTCCATAGCATTATTCCATAGGTGGTCCGTTTTACCATTTATTGTTAGTCAAATTCAATGATTTTATTTGATAAATTCCAAAACCCTCTAAAAGCCATACTATTTATAGGTGACTATCTAGCACATAGGTCTTACTTTGAACGTTGGGCCGCCTCTGTATTACTTACTACTTTTGTGGGTGACAGTAATGGCCTCTGTTCATTCCTCCTTCAGTGTGCCAAGAATGTGCCCTTGAGTTTCCTTCCCTCGATAAGCGCTGTAGCTTCAGAAGTTCCACAGCTTTCGCCCAGTGCTACCTCCCAAGAAGTTGGCCTATTGGGCTTGCAGTGGTCCCAAATCATACCTTGACTTACTTGTATATATCTAAAGCTATATAAAAGATATGAGTTGACTGAACTTACGGCTCTTTTCTCCTCTGCTTCGCACCATTTCTTCCTCCCCTACAGTACTTGTTTCACTTTCCGTTACAGCATTATTCTCCTTTCACGAGTACCTCCACACACCTGACTTTTCTAACTTTTCCAGTTTTCTGATATACAAACATTCGTTCCAACTATTCTGGTGAATGTTTTGTTTTGTTTGTGCAGTAACCGAGCACAATACGTGAGTGTTTCACAATGGCTTGGCATAGGTATGACAGGCGTCGGGTGCCTGAATGGCATGGACGACTGGGAAGATGACACCAAGCTGATACAACCAACTAAGGGGAGACGTGCAGTAATAACGGTTCCGTGTAATCGATTCGCCGCACGCGGCTGTCGCGGACTATTTGCCTCGTTATTACAGTTCTAGCGTTCTTCATACAGCTCAATCGCTATGCGATTATAACCTTTGGCACGATTCTACTGTTAGTTTTTTTGTTCATGTATTTCTTTCTTGCTGCTGCACTCTGCTATATTCCTTCGCGCGCGGCGTCTCTCTCGCCGCGACGCGGCGTCCCTCTCGCC